TCTCTCTCTCTCTCTCTCTCACTCGCATATCAAAATCTTTTTCCCCATCTTTGTCCTGATTTGTATGTTTGTATTTATGAAATTTCAAAACTCTATTTAAATTGTTATAAGACAATAATTCAACAATTTAATTTATTTAAATCTAAATGACAGAACATGCTAATCAAATTATCAATTGACATTAGAATAATACGGTAAATTTTATTATAAATAAAATCTTAAATATCTGAAAAATATTAATCTTTATTATATTGAAAATGATTTAATTAGTCAAGTAACAAATAAAATAATTCATAAACTTATAGTGGTGGAATTGCGGCGTGCGATAAATCGGCAATCAGCATCTTCAGATTTTTCTGTTTCAACTCCTCGTAGGGCAGTTTGTCAACAGCCAGGTACAATTTGGGCATTACAGTAGTCACAAACTCTTTTATCTAGTAAAATTAATTTTAAAAGTTACATTAGTTATATAATTATGTTTGAAAATATCTTAAATGCTTTAATAAATGTGAGTTTAAATATAATATAAATTACCTTAATGTGAAACTCTGTCCAAACTGGATGGCTAGCATGGGCAATTTCATCATCTAAAGTAGTCACCATAAAACCTACCATCGTTTTAAGTCTACCAAGCAGATTCTCGGACGTGCCCGTCATATTTAGTGTATCTTGATTAGCCAAACGGATTTTATCTAACCGTTTGCTCATATAATTAAACCCATGGACTTCGCCCAAAAATTGTGCGGTCACTCGCTCTCTATCAGTCTCGTTGGCCACGGCTTTAAACAAGTTAAACAGCCAGGGAATGGTCCGCAGCACAAACTCCCTTGCTTCCTGATACAACTCTATGGGTACAGTCAAGCCCTGCTTTTTATACCGTTTCTCTGCCGCTTTCATTATCTGTCCGATGGGCTCAACCAATGTATACACTTTAAGTTTGATGGCATCGGTGTTCGCCTGTTCTCCGTAGTCAATAGGATTTTCCTCGGAAATCACTATTAAAATAATAAATTTTAATTATTTAATTTTATTTAATATAATTATTTTGTATTTTACCTTGCACGATAATGAAGAAAATTCCAAACGCAATGGTGAGTGGTGTATTCATTTTTACAAATATAATTTATATACTTGTATTAATTCAAACTAGTTATGTTTGTTATGAATGAATTCTGTATGAAGTACTCGGTTTATATACTTTGATTTTTGTAATGTTTTTAATTATAAAATATAATTTTATTGACGTTTATAATAAATGACAAAAACCACAATAAGAAATTTTGCAGTTTAAACTTCGCACACATGTACAAGTTTAAAAAATTATTATCAAATAGGATCTTATTATCCTAGTTAAATAATTGTGTAATTTGTTTTGCTCGTATACTTTATATTGATAATATTGTTAAAAACAATAAGCGCTTGTTTTAAAAATTAGTAAATCTGTAAACTATTTATAATTAATTAGATGTCAATATAATTATTTTAAACATAACATGACTTTTTCCGATATGAGTATTACCAACTGTGTGTTCTAATTTAACAACACAAACTCATGGTTAAATATAAAAATTATACTCTTATTTTTGGACAATAAACTATATTTCATACAATTTAAAATAATTATTATAATTAGTTGTAAATAAATTTAGTAATTAGTAAAATAAATTATTAGTTAATTGAATTAAATCTACTTTATTTATTCTGCTAATTCTAACTTTATCATTAAACTTAATTGGCAACACTACCTACTGCACTATGCGCAATGAAGTTACTAAAACAATTTTTAAAGTAATTAATTACAAGTGTACCGAATTGTTCAATGAAACATTTTTCACAACATAATATTCATTTTTAAATATATAAAACAATTAATAAAATTACGCTAACATTTAAAAAGTGCTGGTTAATTAATGTGTAAATGTTGATTGACTATAGTATAAATGTACCAAATTGTTTAATAAAACATTTTTTACACTCCATAATATTTATTTTTAAATATATAAAATCGTTAATTAATTTATGCTAACATTTGAAAAGTGCTGGTTAATTAATGTGTAAATGTTGATTGACTATAGTATAAATGTACCAAATTGTTTAACGAAACATTTTTTACACTCCATAATATTTATTTTTAAATATATAAAATCATTAATTAATTTATGCTAACATTTGAAAAGTAATGGTTAATTAATGTGTACGTTTTGATTGTCTATAGTATAAATATCAGTGAGTGTTCAACAATCAAATCAGTTAACAATAATATCAATATAATATTGTAATCATAGCTTTAGTTATCAAATAAGACGAAGACGTTATAAAATACAACAATGTTTGCCATAAAAACTCAATTATTATTTGTTGGCATTGTATTGGCTTTTGCTTATACTACCGGTAAATATTTTCATTTAACTTGTATTAACTCTCTATTAACTAATCTTAAATATTTAGGCCAAGAACTACCAAACCTGGACTTTCCGCATACATTTAATGAAGCTGAAAGCGAGAAAGAGATGTTAGCCTTTGCCTACACTTTGGGCGATAGAGTAAAGGGTTATTTAGAGGCTGAACAACAACGAGACAACGCAAATGGCTTAACAGTCGTCGCACAGTTCTACCAAGATTCTATGTCTGCCTTCAGTAAAATTGTGCCATGGTTATTTGGCGAATTGGAAAAAATTGATAATCCCGTAATAGCACACACGTTGAATACAATTGTGATTGGTCAGTTTTATGATTTCACCACCATGACCGAGCGTTTGTCTGAACTGCGGGCCGTTAAACCCCTGTCGGTCACCGGCAATGAGCACAACCTTATCAACCGATTGAATGCATTGGAGAGCCGAGTGTTGGCCGCCGTCGAGGGCGCAAAAAATAAAGGACTTAGAATCGTTCGCAATTTTCCCGTTATGAACGCATATTACGATAAGGTTAGTTAAATTATATAATTAATTACTAGCTGTCCCCCTTTAAACATTAATTATGGTTATTTTTAGATCAATGCATTTTTGAGCGCTGAGTTCCCCAAACTGAATGAAGCAATCGGTAACTTACCCTCAGCTTCACTCAGACAGCAAACCATTCAACAACTGATCATCGATTTGACACACTTGACCCAAATACCATTTATGCTTTAATTATTAATTATTATAATATTGGATTATAATGTTTTAATTAGTCAATTTAATAAGAAATTTATATTATTAAATAAATAAAACAAGTAAATACTAAATAATACACTAAAATATTAATAAATATTAATGCAAAATATTTTATTTTTTAAAAAAATTTTTAAATATAATTTTAACATTATAAATAAAACCATAAAAAATAAATTGCATTTAAAAATACTATCTTGATTATATAGTTATTAAAAATTATCATAAGAAACGACTCTTTCATAAAACAGAAGCGTTGAATGATTTAACAAGTAGTAAAATGAGCAGGATCTTCTAAATTTTTAGATCCTCTACGACAGGTTATATATTTTGTGTGATTTCGACCCAATCGGGTGCTTAGCAACCAATAATTATCGCACGATTCGCAATCAACTGAAGCTCTGATTATTGTTAAATTATTGGCACTCATATAGGGATAAAATATGGGTTCAGGCAAAATGGAAAGTCGCTCATTATCTAGATCCAAATCTATGCCCACATTTATATCCAATGGCACCGGAAACCAGTCAACACTCTTAAAGGACTGGCGGGTGAGTCGGTTGCGATCCAGCATAATAACCAAGTTGGATTTTAGTGTTGAGGCTAAAAAATCAAACGCCCGGTCGTCTACGCTATTGATCCTGTTATCACGCAAATTCAATACCCATAACCTGGGTAAATCCTTAAACGCCCGTTCCTCAATAATTTCTACTTGACCCGAGCCAATTGTCAAGAGTTCCAAATTGAGCAGGGACCTAAACGCGTTGCTCGGTATGACGTATACGCTTGTGTTGAGCATAATTATATGTTCCACGCGTTTCAACGTGTTTAACGCTAGGAACAGGTCATTACGCGGGCCCTCATGTATGGGTGTGTTCTCAATGCGGATCTCCTCGATGTCCAGTTCAGTGCCACTGAATGTGTTCGGATGTATGTATTTCAAGGTATAAGCTTTGTCTATAAATATGCGTTTAAAACGTATGCCTGCGAATAGTTTTGGCCGTAACTGTACTACTGATGAGCTGTTGATATACAGTGTGTCGATTATTGTATCATGGTAATTTTGGTCGTTTAGTTTATAAGCAAAGTTTTCAAATACGTCGCCTAATGTTAGGTCAGTTAAATTGCTTGAATCGCATATGATGATGCTCTCGGTGTTGCAGTAGCATGGTGATATATCGATTTTACTAATACATTCATTCTGGTTCAAACCGAATACAGAGCCGACTGCTATAAATAAAAACATTATAAAATCATTTTGGTTTATATAGATTTCATATATAAAATTTTATATGTAGCTTTATGTTATGTATTACTTACCAAACAAAAAGATGCAAAATTTAAGCATATTGATTTTTTAAACAAATGATTCTATAATATACAGTAAACTAATGTTTAGTATTCAATTGGAAATAATTGAAAACTGTATGTGAATGTGAATTAGAAATGAAAATAATTGGTGTTTAAATAGAAATTGATTAATGATTTACCAAATAATAATTTAATTTCACGCATGCCGTCAATTAATCCTTTATAATAATCGATAATCCCAAAAGTTATAGTAAAGTAAGACAATTGATATGATGTATCTTTATATAAACTCTTATACTGTAATCCCTTTACGTGAATAAACCAACTAATCCTACATTTGATAATAATGTCAATCAAACAGTATTAATATATATGAACTTATATTAAGTGTCTATATGAAAACAAATCAGGCAATTATTAAATAACAATATTATTTAACTAAGGGCAAAATTTCATCGTTATTTAATAATTGAATTTTGCTGTGATTAACTGTTAATCCTAATAAACTTAAACGTTGATTATATTAGTGATGAATTTCCAATTAGCAATGAATTTTACGTAGATTATAATTAATTCATTTTAAGTGATTGTTAAATATCTGATAAATTATTATAAAAAATTTTATTTTATGATTGTAATTAATTAATCTGTGTATTAATGAAATTCTTATATTTTTGGAAATGTAAACTAAAGCTATAGAATAGCTGTCATAAGATAGTAAAATAATTTAAACTTGTTGTTTGCAATTTCGAAAAAATTAAACAAACTTTAGCCTTATGAGGCCTAACTAATATTTAATATAGGTTAATTAGATATAAAGCTGATTACGTATAAAACTAATTTAATGTCATTGTAGTAATATGTTTTATTGTGGTTAAAGTGTAATGTCCTAGAAATCCAACTACCCGATAGTTCATTTTGTTTGGCTTCTTTAAAATGAAGTTAAAAAATTGCAATTAAACACAATTCATGTTTTCAATGACCAACAAATTTCGATACAACTTAAAATAATAATTTTAATGCAAAATATTACTTTATTTAATAAAATTAAAAAAATAATAATTGTATCATTATAATATTTAATAAATTAAAACAATTAAAACATTGGTCGGTTATTCATTTAATTATAATTAAAGCATAAAGGGCATTTCGGCAAAATGTGTCAAATCGATGATTAGTTGTTGAATGGTTTGCTGTCTGAGTGGAGCTGAGGGTAAATTACCGATCGCTTCATTCAATTTGGAGAACTCAGCGCTTAAAAAAGCATTGGTCTAAAAATATACATGGTTAATAAATAATCGTCAATTTTTTTTAATTATTAAAGAGTATTTGCAAACTAACCTTATCGTAATAACCCTTCATAACTGGATTAGTGCGTAAACCTCTCGGACCTCTAGCCTGTGCGGACTCAACGGCGGCCAACACTCGACTCTCCAATGCCTTCAATCGGTTGATAAGGTTGTGCTCATTGCCGGTGACCGACAGGGGCTTAACGGCCCGCAGTTCAGACAAACGCTCAATCATGATGGTAAGATCATAAAATTGACCCATCACAGTTGAGGTCACAACAAGCTGCAATATAGGTTCTTGAGTGTTTTGCAACTCTCCCAACAACCATCGTGCAATAGGTGTGAATGCGTCAATACAATCTTGGTAGAATTGAGAGACAACTGTCAAACCCTGATTGTTGTCCTTTTGTTGTTGAGTCCGTATATATTCGATGGCTTTATCGCCCAAACTCTTGGTATAACTCGATATCTCATTCAATTGAATGCCTTCTCCCACGACGTGAGGAAAGTCCAGTGTTTGAGCAGCGCTTCCAAGAACTGTACAACGAGTTTGAATTACGATTACAATCAATATGAGAGAGAGAGAGAGAGAGAGAGAGAGA